GGCTTCTCCCTGTGAGTCCTGGCCTTGGCTTCATCTGCTGCCAAACCCTCGTTATCTGTTGGCACTGTGAGGGAATGAGGGCAGTGATGCCCTGGTGACACGAGTTGCCAGAGACTGTGGCATCTTCTCCACGGTGCTGCCTGTTTGCTGTTGATGCCCTGGTAGAGGTCAGTGCCAGGAGGACCTAATATTTCTTTTTTCAGTGCCTTCTCCAGCCCCTGGGCAGTGGAGGAGACACTGGGAAGGAGAAGGTGGGCAGCAGACATGGATAGAAGTGTCAGTCAGCCCAAGGACTACCTAGAGGTGGGGGAAATATCTTTAAACTAGTCAGCAAATCTTCATGAAGGGATTTATTTTATTTGTTTCCCCCACTGGATTCCATTTCCTGGGGGTCTCTGGGGCTTGTTATAAATGAGCAGCCTGTGCTCCAAGTCATGATGGGGCATCTCCTTCTCCACGGTGCTGCCTGTTTGCTGTTGATGTCCTGGTAGAGGTCAATGCCAGGAGGAACTAATATTTCTTTTTTCAGTGCCTTCTCCAGCCCCTGAGCAGTGGAGGAGACACTGGGAAGGAGAAGATGGGCAACAGTCACAGAGGTGTCAGTCAGCACACCCTTAGATGGGGGAAATATCTTTAAACTACTCATCCAATACTCATTAAGATATTTATTTTGTTTGTTTTCCCCATTGGATTCCATTTCCTGGGGGTCTCTGGGGCTTGTTATCCAACCTGTGCTCAAAGCCAGGCTCTGGGAATGAGGGGGGATTTACTGGAGTTTTCTCTCTGTCAGATATTTTGGGGTTGATGCTGCCAAAGTGCCTGAGTTAGGTGGGGTTGAATCTGTGGGTAGGAAGTGACAGTTGCTATTTCTTTTCATAAGCCAGCTGCTGGTTTTATCCTTTTTTGAGGGAAGCTGTCTGCAGAGTATTTAGTCTTTCTCCTAATCCTGCTGAAGGGATTGACTTGGTTCTTAAGAACTGGTGTTTGGGGTAAGGTGTCTGATAAAATCACCGTTTCTACTGACTTTCTAGGACTAGAGTTAATAAAAAATGGCAAAGTTACATTAAAAATGCCTACAATTTATTTGCCAGTGATTCTTCCTCTAGCAGAAGCTGCCCTGGCTCCAGTGGTGAGATCCCCTGGGAAGTGTTAATGGCTCTGAGTGATTCATCTCTCTGCTGTCTCTGGGTGTTATCTGTGCAGGAGCACACACACTGAAGCTGCTGGGCTTGGGAGCAGCTCCTGTTCTCCCCTGCACATCCCATCCCATCCCTGGGGGGTGATTTACAGCCAGGGATGGCAGGAGACTGAGAGGACAATGTGCTCCATCCCCTGCAGATCAGTGTGCTGGGCATGGCCTGTCTGGTTGCTGGGTTGCTCCTCTAAGTGGTGAAACGCACCCAAAACCTGTATTTTTGATCCTCTGGTTTTGGCTGGCTCTCAGGGCACCTCCTGGGTGTCTGTTCCTCTGCCCCTTCCCTCCTTGGGGGGGATGCAAAGCACCTCTGGCACCTGCTCATCTGAAATGAATCCACTGAAAGGCCACTAAGGCAGGAGGAGGGCAAGGTGGGGATGATCCTGAGGGAGCAGGGTTGGCCTTTCCCTGCTCCAGTCCTCTGGATTTAGAGCTCTGGGGCTAAACCTGAAGGAGTTCCAAGGCATTTTCTTCAGTCAGGGCTTCAATAAGAAGATTCCTTTCCTGGTATTTATCCAGCAGCTGAACCAGTGCACAGCAGCCCTGAGCTCCCAGGTACTGAAAGGAATGGAGTGCTAATTATTTATGTTACCAGAACATTCAGGGAAGGAACTTTCCCTTCGTTCTTTGCTTTCTTTTACACCCAAAGGAATCAGCTGCTTTTATAATTTATTCCAGGCTTTGCTGGAATCGAAGTTATCAAGCATTTATCACACATCTGTCCCTGGGAAGGGGTGTCAGTCAGAGCTCGTTAGTGGAGGAGAGGCAGAGAAAACAGCATTTAACCAAGTGATGAATTTAAAAAGCAACATTTAACCAAGTTATGGTGACAGAAGAACAAGGTGCTGAGCACTCAGGGCTGGCAGGGTTGTGCCCAGGTTCTCCTCAGCAGCACATGAGCAGGAAAGGTTTGGTGCTGAGCCACCCTGCTCAGCAAAAAGGCAAATTACACGGAGGAGCTTATTTAATGAGGTTTTGTTGCACTTAGACTTGAAGTATCAAAGGCATCATATCAAATCTCAGTGTTTCTGTACAACCCATTAAGAGACAGAGAGGGCTGCAGATCAAGCCATTTATTCTTTGTGAGGTTATCACCTAAAATCTTCTGGTTTAGCATTTTTTTTTTAACCTTCTCCAGCTGATTTCCTCTCCCAGCACTGTCTCACCCATCACCTCTGCTTTGTTCTCAGCTCTTGGCTGCTCAGCCAGGGAAGCTTGAGCAGGATTGTTGGGATGTGCCTTGTCAGCTGGTTCCTTTGATCTCCCTATTTCTCTTATTTTTAATGATAATTTCCCTCTTGTTCTGACCTAACTCTCAGTGGCTGCTGGCAGCTTTCAGCTGGAGCAGGGGGGAAAAAAGCAAAGCAGAAAGGTGGCACTTTGGCAAGTGCCATGAAGTTAATTAAGGTCTTTCCCTCACTGGGACACTTTTCCAGGCATGTCTGGGAGCGGTTTAAGGGACTGGACTGGTGAGCAGCAGTAAATTAGCTTTGATTTTGTAGGGAGAAAAGGCACCATCTCTGTCCTGGCACAGCTTCTGAGCCGCTTTGTTGTGCCCCAGCTGCTGCTGGTGGGTCCTTTGTAGGAGCCCCAGGGCTCCTGGGGTGGGTGCTGACGCTGCAACACTTTTAGAGGCCTCAAGGCTTTTTCTGCCCCAGTTCCAGTGCTGGGGTGGCCTGTGTGGAGCCCCAGAGCC